ACTCTATTTCCACTGGAATATAATGCCATAGATTTGATGTCTCTTTGCTGTCACCACCAGGCTTTTGCAATTGATTAACACTCACTGAGTTACTGTGGTGCCCGAATGCGTCGATGTGTCTGACCCTCCAGGCAACTTTCTTCTCACTGGAGGCCTTCAACACATGCATACATCTGTTAACTACCTCCCACAGCACTGGCTCCTTTCCCACAATTCCATTAAAACCGCCTACACTCGCATGTGACTGTAACACTGATCTCCTCTGTCATATAATCAAGAAACGGCATATTGCTATTCTTAAGCTTGCGTATGTTGTGGACTGTTTGTGTACAAGGAATACATGCATAATGTGAATCCTCTGCCATGCTTTAAATCAAGCTATTATCCCTGTTTGTTTACGCAAAACCATAACTTAAGATTCTCTTTGAGATTCATGTGATCCTATTGTTCGCCAGCCTTAGCTGTCAGCACTTCATGCAGTTCATTATGTAGATCACAACGTTTCCAAACCACTGCACTGAAACCGTGAATGTGATTGATGTCTCCACCAGCTTTACGCCTAAAAGGGAATCCTTACTCAGTGCTGTAAATGTTTTAATACCATTCTTGTGATCGCAGACACTTTTTTTGAAATGTTCCTTTTAGACCATTAATCAGTTATTTCATATATGTTCTCTTCACATTGGAAGATTTATAGTTGTGGGAACTTTTGATGGTTGTTTTTCTTTTCCTTTAGATTCTCACTCGCAATTTTCAACATAGCCATTCTCAGTTACCCATGATTGGAGGACTGAAAGTGTGTGATAAGCGTTGAGTGTGGGACAGATAAAAGCTCTTTCCTAGGCCGTAGGCGTCCCTGTGGAAGAGGCCCTTGATTGCTCCTTTGTCTTTCTCATTCTCTCATTCTCTCATTCTCTCCGCTGGCACCACTGCTCCCGAATAATCCCTGCAACCAAATATATTCATTGAATAATACAAGGAGTGAGTGTTGGGTCATGTGCTAGAAACTCATCTTGCTCCTTCCCTCGTGTTCCGTGGGAGCACAGACATGTTAGAGACAGAGAAAAAAGCGGAAGAAACCCATCAGATAAATTGTCCTCTAATTTTTTATCGGCTACTTCCTGTGCCATAAAATTATCTCTCTCTTCTTGGATCATTTTTACAAAATCATCACTTTGAAAATAGACTTGTTTGATTGAATGTTTCCCATGTTATTAATTCAACCCCATGAGATGGAAAAACAGACAATGCCTCAAGGGGGGACATGATGCTGCTATCTGTTTTATGGCTGCCATATATTTCTGGAGTTGGAATTCTAATACATAGCTGTTAATGTCTCTGCTACTTGGGGGTCAAATTATAGCCGGAAACCAACGGGATGGACTTGCACCAACAATACTGTTGATTGTGTTTTTAGCTGTGGCAAGAAATAAATGGACAATGGCATGCTAATTAAATTCTACATTTCATCTGTTCTTTTGTATATGAAAAAAGCACATTTTGTAGTTGTCTACTGTAAAAAGGGAGGCTGAAATGTCTTTAACCTTTATACATTCAGCAATGTTAGTCCCTTCTGAAGTGTACTTTAATTGTGGTGTGCAAATGTCAGCTCAATTAACCTATCCGAACACTTTGGGCTTCGTTAGAAAGCTAACTAGACCGCCCGGTTACTTTGCATAATAATCTGACATTTTGAAAATGCCGTTATCAGAAAAACAGACAGCATTGGTTGTTTGTTTAAAAGCCTCAAATGGGCTTCTTTTGTTTAACTGGCAAGGACGTCTTCTGGCCGTGTGAATAATAGCTGTTGTTTTTTAGAAGAAGTAAAGGCAGAAGTAGCCTGACATAAGTTGATAGCAGCAAAACTTTATTTGTAGGACTTATAAAAGGGAACATTAAAATAAGTTATCAATCAAAAATTCAAAACACTTTTATTTATACATTCCATGACTGAAAATAATCTATGAGAAGAAAAACATTGTATTTAGCTTGATCCTTATTCGAAGTATACTTGCAGTGTGTCCCCTAGGTTTACTGCTTTGGGGGGGTGCTTTGGGGGGGGGGATTATTGTTATTGATTAATGCATCAGTGTTTCTTAGGGTCCAAAACACTAAACTCACAACTTAAAATGAAAGCGTTTAGTTTATTTAATAAAAGAGCACATGTTCAATGTGGAAAGTGACAGTATATAGATTAGTTGCAATTTGGTGCTATATATATATACACTGAACAAAAATATAAACGCAACACTTTTGTTTTTGCTCCCATTTTTCATGAGATGAACTCAAAGATCTAAAACATTTTCTATATACACAAAATAACCATTTCTCTCAAATATTGTTCACAAACCTGAAAAAATCTGTGACAGTGAGCACTTCTCCTTTGCCGAGATAATCCATCCCACCTCACAGGTGTGGCATATCAAGATGCTGATTAGACAGCATGATTATTGCACAGGTGTGCCTTAGGCTGGCCACAATTTTTGTATTCTAGACCTTGGTAAAAAGGATAAAATGCAAGTAATGTTAACTAGAGAAGACATTGGTACTGGGTTACTCCCGGCAATATATGTTATGATATAGGGTTCCGATGCTCAGCCTTACTGTTATACCCCTCTCTCTTTAGCCTATTCCCAGTTCGCTTCCATCAAATAAAGGTGAAAATGCTCGCTTGTGATTAGATGGGCTGTTTCATCGCTTAAGGAAGTTGCATTTCATGCTCCAACTGCACTTAAAGATCTCTGTTGGGACAATCTGTTTTAAGACTACTGAAGGCAGTTCCTATTGTCCATAATACCACCCTATGGACCCTGCATGGCATTCAGAATACAGATGATGTTTATATCAACAAAGAACTATTGGATTGGATTGTGGTATTGCACGATAAAAAACAAAGTGCTCTGGGGAATTGCAAGCATTGAGCGAACCATTAAATACTATGTCTTGAAACGCTGTGGACTACCGGACGTGTTGTGTATTCTATACTGTCCCACATGTGATTGATTACAATTGTCTGAAGCTCACCAGTTTATTATTCGATTCAGCAAAGCCCCCCAGTCCCATGAGGAAGTTCTTCCTTGGATGACTGGAGTAGATGTGCAATGGGAATGATCTTCAATCATGTTTAAACACAATTAACTGCTTTTGAACTGTACATATGACCTACAATGTAAGCCCCTAATGCTTTGACCATATAGACTTGTCAGTAGTGACGATATACAAACCCTCTGCACTACATTAGTTTCAAAGCTCTGTGATAAATGTTCACATTGCTTTCCAAAATAATTCACATGATTTATTGAGTACATAGAAATGTAGTTACAGTAATAACGCAAAGGCTCATGAGTTTTTAAAGTTGCACCCCAGTGATATAGATATGATTTGCACTTTAACCTTAAATATAACATCTGAATGAACCCTACATGAAATAGCTAGGGAACGATCTACTTAATGAAGGTTTTTCATCATACTGCAAACTGTCATCAGAAACCCCGATGCTGCATGGTGCCACACATGTTCCTATAATGGGGGATGGTATTGAAATAGTACCATTGGGTATTATTGGAAAACGTAACCTACTGCATCTTTTTAATATCAGATGTTCCCTTTTCCTAAGCTTGAAAAATAAAAAGACAAGTCAAGACGCCAATTCAAACATCTTCTCAAACCCACCTTCAGAGTACTAACTTTTCCACTGATGATCCATACGTCCACTATGTTCAAAATGTGCAAATGCGCATTGTTAAGGTTCCTGGTACATGGAGGGTGCCACTGACCCAACATAAGACTCATGCCAACATATACATGCATCAACTATCAGAGCTCTTAGTGCTGCTCTGTTGGTTGGACCAGTATTTTTATGGCACACTGCTTGCAAGACTGAAAGCAATTACTAATTAAAAGCCATTGTGAGATTGAAACATATCACTGCATAATATACTGTTTGTGTTTGCAGTGGTGTACAATGCAGTCAATTTGTCAATCATTACTGGAGATCTTTCTAACGACCAAATGTAATAATGTTGTTACAGCAATATGCTAAACATGTGCCTTAAAGGTAAAGCTAATAATGCTAACATTACCTAGCTATTATTATAGGTTTATGTCACAGTTTGATCCATTCCTGACTTTTTAAGGCAATAAAAAAGATTCCACCAATCAACCCAGGCTCACTACAGCCCCATGAAGGACTGGAGGAATCCAAAGCTTGTGAGACCTGCGGCCTTCTAATACAGCTGCTATTATTAAACAATCACTCTTTGTGGGGGGGGGGGGGAATCATTAAGAGGTCAGTTGTGAATTGGAAAAAAGCTGAACAATAACAAGACTAAAAGTACACAGTGGAATTGTAAAGCTTTTAATAATAATTGTTGTGATAACAATAAAACATGGACATTGGAGAATTTAATGATAATGTATATATTTTTTCTTTAGAGTTTAATAATGCATAAACCATTTATAATGTTGTTCTATACTAAAATAATTGATGTATAAATTGCCTTAAACTTGAAAATGTAATTATTCTAGTAGCAAACTCCAGGAACTACATTGTGAATTCTTATGTTTTTTATTATGTTATTTAAGTGTTGTTGATCTGTACAGACAGTAGAGCCCTCTTTTACAAATATATAATTTGTGAATTGGGCGATATAAATAACAAGTAATTTGATTTGATGAAATGAAATGTTAACCAAATTGTGATTTTGCAGTATTTTTAATTGTGAACATGCTTGTGGTGGCACTATGGTTGTCTTGTCTTATTACTGTTCATCATGCACATGAAATAAATATTCTCTTGAATCCTTATTCCATACCAATAATGACAGCAAACATGTTCTGCTAAGAGTTTTATATACAGTAGCTTTGAACATTATTATATTTCCCTGTGGAGTTACGAAAAGGTTATTCAACATTTTTTTCCTTATATAAACACAGTAATTATCTCATCAGTGTCTAAATGTCCTCTAATTATGATCTTGTGTCTGGTTTTGGTCACACAGCTGTCTGCCACCTCCACATCCCGAGCAGCCTTCTTGCAGTGCGTTCGTTGGGGGATCTGGTTCCCCTTCCAGGAGCCGGCTGACTGGAAAGGGGAAGAAATACAGATTGTTCTGCGAGGAGGTGCAAAACCAAACCCTCACGGAGTCATGGTCTACAGCACAGAGATGTCTGCCAAAACCCAGAGTCCTGTCACCCTCTCGCCTCCAGGCAGTGCTCAGGTAACACCATCGCAGCGGAGGCATGTCCCTGTCAAAAAGAGCTTACATTAAAAATGTGTTACGACACAGTGTTGTTGAGAGCACTCACATAGACGTTTCTCTAAAGACAAACACATTCACATGATTGATCATTCTACTTTCTTTGACATTATGTGGTCATTTACACTAGGATATGTTGTCTATATCGACCAAGAAAAAAGAAAAAGGAAACAAATCTTGCTGTATGTACACTTGAGCTTGTTTAAAGCTAAGCTGAGTTTTTATCTTCAAAGTTGATTGCAGTTATTGTAAGTTGCTTTCGATAAAAATCAGCTAAATTAAAAAAAAGATGTAACAGTCAAGATGACATCACCCTGCCTTGTTAATAATCATCACAGTTTACAGCACACTCCTGAAAGTCAAACATTTCAAAGGGTGCAAAAGTCGTCACCGTGTGATGACTTCAACTTTCGCTCCTCAGCTGTGACTTTCACACAGATATTTTTATATATATAATACTATAATAACTCCACGACACCGTCTCCTTATCCGCTGCTAGATCATCCATTCCAGTTGTGTGCGTCCCTCCATATCTGTTTTCCGACAGTTTTTTTATATCACTGAAATGTGTGAAATGTGTGAAATGTGTGAAACGTTCTCCTCTCTAGGAGGGGAAGGATACCATAACGTTTCGGCTGTCGTCCAGTCTGGAGAGGAAGGCCTCCAGCCCAAAGGCCTCTCTGAGGACAAAGCAGGAGGAAGTGTCACGTCAGAGAAGATCACCTTCATCACCTTTGAGGGGTAAATATCATCATGTAATCCATAATGACTTTTTAAGCACATACATTAATTTCTTGGAAAGGCTAATTTTCCCTCCAAGAATAAGGTGAGCTGCTCTTTACTGCTTAAAAACAACCCTCATGTCTTTGTCTAACTCTTGTTTATTGGACCAGAAAGAATGTGGTCCACTTCTGCAAATTGTTTTGTGCAACAACACCCAGGTGTAATCAGGCGAAGTTCTGAGCAACAACCCAGCCCGTCCTCTGCAGTGTTTATCTCAAATGCAGCACCTGCTCTCTGCATGATTAGCACGTTTCATGATTGGGGTCTGAGGGGAATAAAGGGATGAACTCAAAGTGCTAGGAGAGGACTTTAGCAGTCCAATAGGACCTCTTGATCTTGAACGAGACTTATTTTGCCTCTTCGTCCTAATGTCTCCTATAAGGGTACAACTTTAACTTGAACATAGACAACAACTAACACATTAGTTTTTACTTTAAATACTGGTGGAAGTAAGCATCTAAAAGTACAGATAGCAATGATGTTTGTATTTTCAGTGATAGCGTGTCAGTGATAGCATACATTTTGGATGGAGCAAAGAACAGATGTTATCGATGAGATATATATTGAAGTTGTCGTTTTATTTCCCACTCTATCCCTCTCCAATGTTTTTGAATGTCCATTCATTTAGTTCAAACCTTGTGTTTCTGCACAGTTGTGAATACATGTTGGGCCATTCTCGTATAATAAGCATTATATTTTATGAAAAAAAAGATTTCAGTGCTCTCTGCATAAGAATTGGATTCTCATGTGATCCTAATATTTTAATTAAGAAGAGCCTTGTAAAGTTCAAAAGTCAAAATATATAGATTTTTTTCTTGAATGTTTTATTTAAGGAAATATTCTTCTTCAACCCATATTTGTTGGTGTAAATCTTTTTACAAAACAACATTTATACTGTAATCAAAAAACCATTTGCTCACCACACACAAAGAGGCAATCACTGTTAGTGTTTTATTTATTACAATTATTTTAATGAAAGTAATTGTTGCCAATTGTTTTCATTATCTAACCCAGTGGTTCCCAAACTTGTTGTGCCCAAGGCACACCAAAGGACAAGTAAAAATCTCAAGGCACACCTATTGTGCAAAATAGCCCTTATAACACGTGTTATCACTCATATCATGTAAAATATCTGTAAATGTGCATAATTATTTACTAATGCCAAATAAAATGTGACAGACAACTATATTACGAAATATTTCAGAAATTAATTTGAAACGTTATCAAATTAGGCTTCATCAAAGCAGCAACACACTCATTTACACCAGACAGGTCACAACATTAAAAATGAGGAAAAGGAAACTCAGCAGAAATTCAGCACAGAGAACTGTCAATTGAATTGTCAAAAAAAATTGTCAAAGAAGCTGCATTGTCCATGGTCCTGAACTACAAATTATAAATTATAAATGTATTACTTTAAAAAAAAGTAATATATTACACTACTTCGTTACTATCTATATAAAGTAACTCGTTACTTTACTCGTTACTTTACTCGCCGAGCACGTACGAACTGCGCATGCGTGAGTGGCAATAACTTTCCTTACCAGCAGGCAGCGGTAGTGTGTATTTGTCATTCAAAACAGGCAACAACCGGAAGACAGAGAAGAAGAACAGACTATGTGATATAAACAAACAACAAATAGCGTGTGCGGTAGCTTCACCTTAGCATGTGTTCTTTGCAGGTGTTTGACGTGGTGTTTACAGCAGTGGATAACAGCTTCTGGCCTGGACACAGTTTGCACCTCACCGTCACATTCCTGTCTATTCTTCGGACGAACTCAAAGTAATGGGCATACCTCCACCCCTCGAAAGTTATCGCTGACTCAGCCATGTTTATGCAGCACTGCACGTGGAGATGTGGACGCGCAAGTCGCGCAGATTACGTACATATAAACCTACAAAGTACTGATATAGTAAATTAAAAAATTATTTTTGTGTAGTTGTATATTGCAATAATAACGTATGGTTGTCACAAAATCCCACGGCACACCCGGACTTGCCTCACGGCACACCAGTGTGCCGCGGCACACCGTTTGGGAACCACTGATCTAGACCAATGGTTCTCAACCTGTGGTACGCCAGCTCCCGCTAGCTAGTGGTACGTGGAGGAATCTGAAATATTTAAAAAACAAGATGTAAATATATATTTTTTTATATATATTTATTTTCATTTAACCAGATGAAAACATTGAGACAAAATCTCATTTACGATGCTGACCTGGCCAAGAAGGCAGCAACGTTACACGTTCTTACACATAACACAGACATACAAAATACAGAAAACATAACTAAGTAAAGAAAAAGGTGAAAAGCAGTCACTACATTGTGCACATTTGGGACACTAAGGTACACTACTTATTACTGCAAGAGCAGCTGGTGGTAAGGACCTCAGACAACTTCAATTTAAAACAGGCTATAGGGACAAGTGCCATCAGTTTGAGGCTTGATTGAATAACATTAACTCAAAAATAAATCATACTATCAAAATACTACGAACGAATGAAAATAAGCTTTACATATGGAGACAAGTTCCATAACTTGTCTCACAGCTAATGAGATGATGACTGTTTATCCATACAAGTGACATACTGTAATTGCAGCAGAACAGCTTCAGTGTGCATTTGAAATCAGTATTGTCATACTGATATTCTGTACAAACTGTGAAGTCCACTGAGACAAATGTAACATTTGTGATATTGGGCTATATAAATAAACATTGATTAATTGATTGATTGAAAACTTTTCACCAACATCACACACCTGCCACATGTCTCACCAAATCTATTGCAGGGATTTAAGAAAATAAACCAAGTCCCCGTTTTTATTTCTTCAGATGCTGTATGCCGCTGAATTTTGTGATTTATATTCCGCCGCTCCCAATTTGCCATGACTGTTCCACGATATCCCTCCAAAAATAACTCATGAACCCCGAGCTTTAAAGAGGCCTCCCGCTGATACAAAGTTCTGGTTAAATATTCCACTTCCCCCTCACAGCCAGATATAAATGACGAGCCACTGTCTGCATCTCTTACTGAAGCCCTAACTGCTGCTCTGTGTCCGTCAGGGAGTTGATTCAAAGTGTAGTAAACACAACACACCGCCACTCAGACCCCGGTTGTATTCTCAATGATTTCCCCTCTAATGATGCTGTTAACTTATATTAGGAAAGAACAATAGCGTTGATCAGGGCCTACTTCATGGATGTGTAGAGAAAGTGTTTGCCATCGTCTAATAATGACTTTTAAATCAGTCGCTAATTGTCCTCAGAAATTTGCCCAAGAAGCCTGAATAACTTTGGGCAAAAATGATATCATGAATCTCCTTCATTTTAGTGCCTTTACCATCCTCTACTTTGTTTTTCAGCACATGGATATGCCAGTAGGTGTGCTGCTTTTCATCGCAGATAGCTCAGTTAGACCAATAACACATTCATAGCTAGAATAAAATATGTAATTCTTGCATTTGATGTTTGTTTACTTACTCCTATTGAACGCTATCTGCGCCTCACATTGAACCAGATATTGGATAGAAAAAACAAGCCACTTGTTACCTCTTGTAAACCCTAACCCTCACACTGATGAATACATTATAGCCAATACATTATCATTTACTAGCAAATGTAGCCTAGGTGGCAGTAAAGTTGGGTTGTGATCGGCCAATAAACCCAGATACGACGTAGAACGAGCACAGTGCACTGACTATCCAAACATGTGTTTACTGGTTTGGACTTTCTTCAGTTTCTGAGGATGACATCACAATTGCAAATTGCCATATGCTTTTTGGTATACATTACTAGAAAAAATACTTTTGAAGCATTATTGATGATGTTAACAATAATAGTGTCAGTTCAACTTGCTATCAGAGCTATCCAATATGTAATCCTCTATCTTTGCATACTACATTGAAGCATTTCTTACCCTCTGGTGTGCTCAAAGTTCAGCTTATTTTCTTCCTAAAATACAAAACATGTGACAGTTTGAATGAATAATTGTTTCTTACTGAAAAAAGTTTATACATTCATATCATGCATTGTTAGTGTAAACTGAAAAAGCACAACTCTCAGACCAGGCCGGTAAAATAAATGTTTTACTTAAGGTCAGGAGGCGAAACAGGGCAGGCAGGTGGTATGATGCAATCTTATCCAATAGGGGATCAGGCTGGAGAGTAGGAGATCAAAAGGCACACCGGGGGTCATAACAGGTCAAACTCAGTCAGGCAAATGTCTGTAAATCAGAAAGGCACACGATAATCTGGCAGGAATTAACCATAGACTGTATACACATTGAAGAGGCCACTGCAACACCCTCCATACATTTGTGGACTGCAGTTTTGAAGACCCACAGTGATGGCCAATCCATCTTTGTTTTTTGGAACTGGGGGTGTGAAGAAGTGAGAGGGTGGAGAAAAGTAAAAATGAACACAATGCAAGACATTTTTCGGCAACGAAAATGTGAGAACTCCCTTTTAAAAAGGGTTAAAGTTCTAAAACAACCAAAACGGCCAGTCAATCACAAGGTAGCCTAATGGTGTAAAGCATTCCCTGTTTTACTGTCTATTTCACTCTTAATTCATAAAATATACATCTTACTGTTTTAAAGAAGACTTCATAATATTGTATAAGACAATAAACATATAAGGAAAATGGTTAGTGTGGTATTTAATCAAATAAGAAGTTGGGACATTTTCTCATAGACTTCTACAAAATCGGACTCCTTTTCGTACACCAGTGGAGTCGCTCTCAGCTGGCTTTTTAAAAAAATATTGCAGATTTAAACTGTTACATTTGCTGGGTTCCAGTATGGTATTGGGCAGATGAAAAAGGTGGGACCAGTGGGCAGGTCCAGTAATGTGGAATGGCGGGAATGCGACAGTAGATTTACTTCATTGCAGGGGGGAAAGCAGACAAGGCAAGTGTGAAACCTCCAAGTTATTTATGATCTTTCATGAATAACTTTGAGGATGGAAATTCTCATCCAGCCCATACATTTTCCTTAATGCATAATTTAGCTGCAGAAACCCTGGTTGTTTGCATGACCATCACACATCAGAGGGCTAAAATATAGAGTGGATCACGCTGTTTTGACACATATTCTCATTAATGAGTTTTAATGATGCATCATATTTACATATTTAAATGTATACTTCCTCAATCTTTGCCGTGCATACTGTATACTAAAAATACATCTCACGTACATCTGCTAGTTGCCTCATCTGTCAAAAAAGTCCTCTCATTGATCACAAATAAACAGCCAGTACATGTCAGTCCAGCTAATGAGGTGAAACCCATTTACCACAGACGAGACATAAAAACAGGAAACGGAAAGGCCCTTAAAATCAAAATGGCCACCGGGGGAAGGAGATGCCAGAGCACATTTGTGACAGAGCCAGTTTTGTTCCATCTCCACTCTGTGTGCATGTAGTCTGAACAGATGGGAGCTACAGTAAGACACCCCGGGCAACTGAAGCAATTTCCAAAAGGCCAGTCAAGCCCAGCGCAGAGAGCGCGAAAGAGTGGGAGAGGAGGACAAAGAGATGCTGGAAAGCCTTTCATTTGAGCATTAACATGGCTACTAACCAAAAAAAAAAAAAAAACTCAGGAAACCATTGTTAGACTTTAAACTCAGTGTGACATTTGAATATGCTTCTTGATCTGTATGAAATTGGAACAGATTTGTTGGCAATAAGTAGTTTTGGTACCCCGGTGTTCAGTGGAGTTATTTGCTGAAGTTATGCACGACACATTGTCACAGTACATTCATTTACTTTATACCTGACTGAAAATCCAATCAGCAAGAAAGCAATCAGCAATGACATTTCTCTGTCAACTCTCATTCCCCCCCTCACAAGCGGATATTTCATTAAAATGTCTATCCGCACTTATAATTAGAAGTGCTTCCATCTACACAGGGCAATCGAAAGACATTAAAATGACTTTAATTGAGCTTGTTAAACATTGTACTGGAGTTATTTGCATAAATATACAGATAAAGACATAGAGAATAAAAGGGATGACAATGACACTTAGCAAGGTGAATATATAGTTGTCCTAATCTTCTTTTATTTTGTGTTTTTCAGGTCAAAGAAATATTCCGCCAGCTTCTCCTCCAGATTCTCCTCAAGGCCCCGGGGTAAGACACCTTGTGACCTACTCAACTTAAATAAGTAACTCTGGTACTATGACAAAATTGAACTTTAGTTAAAGTCCTAACGTTCTCACTGAAAGCTTGAAGCATTTTAGAAGCCTTTGTACTCATTTTTCAACACCTTTCAGTTTTAAATCCTGCTATCAAGGAGTCCACACAGAATCACTTTTGATAATCATCGGTCATTTAAAGCTGCATTTAGGGAGTTTCTTGTTGCCACAGCGGGACAAGCGGAAAATACAACATCCGACCTATTAGCTTCATTAACAGTCTATTAGCATAAGTAGCAGACAAAAGATTAACATAATTGTTCACACAAAAAAACCTCACCTATGCTTTGTTTTTGTTTTTTCTGAATAGCTGTTGCTAAAAGTCTGACTATATTCTAACGCTGGTCACTAATTTAGTCTTTCTGACGTTTTAAGGTGGGCAAATAGTATCCAATGCTTTGTTCTTCTACTGTTGTTGCTGGAAACAGTACAAACTGTCAATTACACTATTGCCTTATACACATTGACTATTTGTATTATTACTTCCTGCTAGTTAATGTACTTTAAAACACTACTAAGTTTTTGAGCATAATTGTTTACTTTTTTATTTGATTTTAACTTACTTTTTACAATAAGGACTACTTGTTTTTCACTTTCTTTTCATCTGCACTGTCCTTTTTCTGTTGATACATTCTAATTTCCCCGCTGTGGGAGGAATACATGATATCTCATTCTGAACTTCACTGACATAACAGTATTGATTAGTAAAGCTTTAAGTCATATATCAAGTAACCAGCTTTATTGGAAATCAACAATAAAAAAAACGGTGATTTTAAAGTTTTGACAGACAAATTCAATAATAGTAATACATGTATTTGGGGCTTAAAACCCAAAGACATTAACTAATCAATTTTAAAGGGTAATTTTCCATTTTTTTCCCATTATTTTGCCTGAAAAATTAATACATTTAGCCGTAAAAAAGCTTAATCTATTAAAAATAAATAATTTGCTTCCTCAGTTGAAGCCAATTCTAATGCTGTCATTTATGTATGAATGTAAAAGCTAGAATGACATGACATTTTGACACTTTCAATCCATAGAAATAACGTTACGAGTACATTCAAATGAGACTTAGACTCTCTATACTGGTCTTTATATGGTACATGGAGCATGTCTCGCCTCTACAGTAGGTCAGGTGTCAGTAAGTGCGGACCTGGAGGGATGTCTGCATGACAGGAACAGGAAGCCCCTCTAGCAGTTCCCTGTAGCTTTACAACAATACATCTCCCACTCTGTGCTCTTTAAAAAAAGATCATACATCTTGACTAACCCACAGTCATGCTCTGTCTGATTTGTGGACATAAATTGCAGGTCAAGCTTATATAATATTTTTAAATGTCAAGAAATAAAAGCATAACTTGTCCCAGATCTCTCTGCAACAATGTGATTAGGCAGCGTAATTGGCATCTTTATAATTCCTTTATCTTCAATGAGATTCAAGAACGATAGGGTCTTTCAAAAATATCCCGCAGCCAGTGTTACTGAATATGTATGCAGGGAAAAATATGAAGTTTGTGTGTGTGTTCATTGGAAATGTTATTCTTGACAACAAGAGATCTGTGTGTGTCGATGAGGGAATGGTTCAAAATCACCACAGAAACCTGAGTAATACGGATAATAATTAACATGCATTAAATCAGATTAAATGTCACATTAGTATCAGTGTAAACTTCTTACAGGCAACCAATATTGTACTGATCAATTCTGAAAAAACTAATAGTATTAACTGCATCATGATCACCCAGCCAATATATAAGGAGACTGAATCATACCGTTCTTATTGATATACAGACATGGAGCATATGTAACATGTACCAACCGTGTGCGTTGCTGTGTGTGTCTGTTTGTCCTGACCGAGCTAAGCTACCGTTACCATCATCCTTCAGCCTGAGTGGAGTTGCCAGTAGAGACTGGTTGTAGTGATGGATGTTGCTCACTCTCAGGATGAGGCACACACACACACACTCAAACACACACTAACATTGCGCCACAGAGCGGAGGAGGAGAAAGATCAGGTCTGTTTCAGTGTGAGTTCTCCGGGCCAATATGAGCCGCAGTGTGTTTATTGTCGACTAATTTTTCAAATCGAACCAACAGGGGCTTGGAGCTGTGGGAGAAATGCACCCATGAACTCTACAAACCGACCCTCTTTTTGATTAAGCACAGAGGGCGGTGAAAGCCTGGTAGCGGGCAGCTCCCAGTGGCTTAGAAGAGAGGCTGTGGTCATACTGGGCGGCACGGGATGACATTAGAAGAGGGGGGTGCTTAGCAGGAAATACCATTGTGAGCGCAAATCATTCAAAACAACATCACCACTTTTTTTTTTTTTATGATCCAGCAAGTAATTAGTTATATTTCAAATGTCAAATGGTTAAAGTGTAACCACATTTCCCCAAATGAGCATTTAAAAGCAAGAAGATAAGCACAAATTGTAAAAAAAAAAATGTTTATGTAAAGGGAGGACAGGCAAGTTTTTAAAAAATTGGGGCCACTGTTGCACTTAATAACATAACAGTACATTGCTTTCAATTACAACATGTCCTAAGAGGATTTGGAATGGTGTGGCTACTAATGACACTGTATCAAAATGATCAGTCATCTCAGCAATTTCCTGCTGCACTAATAATTAGGGGTTTTATCCTCTTCTACCGTATTGTTTTGGTATTCTGGTACAAGAACATGTAATTAGTATTATTATTATTATAAAATCCCATCATTTAAAGGGCAGACATCAAGCTTTTGTCTTTAGTGTTAAAGGTTGAAATCCTAATGTATTCCCAAGAAATAAAAAAAGACTCTGCAGTAGCCAGAGTTAAGATCAGCCTGATGCTATAGCGTATATTGGAAGGAATATAACACAATTAAAATGAAGAGGGATTTGTACAATTATTATAATGTTTTAACATACAATTAAAGTACTTTCTTCAAAGCCTGTTGACTCACTTTAGTTTTTTCACTTTCTAGTTTGAAAGTTTGAAAGGGTTACTGAATAAGTAACACGTTTTAAATAAAACAACTAACCACCAAAATATATTATGCAATATACTTTGTCCTCCAAAGTTGAAAGAGAAAAGATATAATCCTCTGCTAGAAATGGTAAAGAAGCCTACTGACTATTTAAGTGTTCAAGTGGTTAAAAACTTTTTGTTGTGGCATAAGGGTAAAAGTGACTAGCTAATGTTGTGTATCAAATATCGAGAAGCAAAAGAGCCAGGAGATGGTAGAGTCAAAAGCAAAGCAAAAGGAGGGGAAGTGTGTAAATTACAATCGTTGGTTATCTACAAGCACAACTACAAATGTGTCAGTGTTTCCCTGTCAGCTGAACGTGTAGTGAGGTGTTACAAGACACACTCTTAATGCAGTAAGTTACCAGTAAATCCATCTAATAACAGAATCATCTTTATTACACCAATATTGAGTAAAAAAAGCAGCAGTCATTAGCGCCCTGGCTGCTTAATGTGTACAGCATCCATATCTATCTGAGGGCTATCCAGGATTCTGCATAAAGAAATGAAACCGAAAAAAGTGTGTGAAGCCGTGCCACTGCTGTTGGCAGTTGCTCGACAATGCATCACGAGTCTGTTGTTCACAACATTCACGAACAGTCTTTCTCTGTCTCTCCCTATTTTGGCCTCCTCCCTTTTCAAAGACATTTAAAATCCACTTGTTTCATTCCTAAGAATGATTTTGCCCGTTTGACTACAAATAAAACATTATTCCCTCTTTAACATGACTGTCAGGCGCTGCTTAATCAATGGCATCCTTTTCTGAAATGGCTGCGTAAACACGCCGGCTCTGTCTCTAGGCATTGTTGGATCTGACAACTTTCTCTTCCCCGCATAAATTATTGATCCTTGACACTTGGTTTGCCCTGGTGCAGAATGCTAATGATCTCGTGGTATTTTTAGACAACATTTCGGGGAGACTAGCTGAGTTTGTTTGCCAGTGTTGACGATGATCTCTCGCGTGGGGCCGCGCTCATGTTTCAGGGTCATGCTCTTGTTCTGTCCACCCAGGTGGTCCCGAAGCCCCTGGGCCGGAGGTGAGGTCGTGTTTCCCTTTGTTGCTGGCAGAGGGCTATCTGGCAGCTGGCATCGGCTCAGTCAGACCTCATTTATGCAGATCTCTATTACGCCGAAGCAATTCCTTGAACCAAATGTTTTTTCAAAAGAGTAAGACTCAAGATATGAGGGCGAAATTATTTTCAGATTGATGGTTGTGTTGAACAAAGCATCAATAGTTTTCTCAGAAATTACAATGGATGTCTGCTAATGCTGGCATCTGCCTGATGATAATCACTCTTTAGAGCAGGGGTGGGGAACCTTTTTCCTCTCAAGGGCCATTTCAATTTTGTCAACATCCTCCGAGGGCCGTACAAATGATTGACCTCTGCTTAAAAATCACAGCACATTCATTTGGCCTTTCTTTCATGTTGTGCAAAGAAAAAGCAACCTCTTAATCTAGATATCTTGCCATGACTCACGTATGCATGCACGTGCACGGTCGTGGCATGACCACCAAACAGAAAGATACGGACACACGATGTGTGCAAATGTACTTAGTTTCCTATCCATGTGAACATGATTTAAGTGGGGGGGGGGGACCTAAGATATTCCATAGATCATGAAGAGATCTATGGAAACATCTCTCAACACGCCACTGGGCTTACAACTAAGACACAGCCACGCAAAAACTGCAGCATGTGTACGGCTCCTTATGGGTACTGCCATTGTTGAAGTCCCGGAGCGGCGTTCTGGTGCTCTCCGTCAGAACTACACTCCTGTCAGACGAGACATATACCACGTGATGACACGTTAGGCTCGTGTTGTGTTCAAGTACCATGACCGTTGTCAGGAAAAACAGGCACTCGCTTGTTTAATTATTTTGCAGTCTAGATTTCTTTAATTTTTTTCTTTTTTGCGTGTGTTTATAAAT